GGGGGGGTTCAGGCATGGTTGGTGGGAAGAAGCGAGTGTTGCGGACATGGCATGGCTTGGCGGACTCACGGTGGGCATCAAGGGGGGGGGGGGGGGGGGCGACTCGGGTTCCAGGTAGGCTTGTGGGTAGAGCATGGATCTATCTCCACCAGCTTCAGAAGAGTGGGGAGAGGTACCAGCGCAGCCTCGCAACGACCTGGAACAGCTGCTCGATAGGCAAGCAGGAGCGGGTGGGTCTGCGCCGGCGGGCTTGCGGGTGGCGCGGGCGCGCGGCGAGGTGCGCATGTCTTTGCAAGTCGGAGTCAAGGAGTTTCAGTTTGACGGCAGCTCGCAGGCAGGGCCGGGCAAGCTCCGGCCTGCAGCGCCGGCCAAGCTGCGACCTGCAGCGCCGGCCAAGCTGCGGCCGGCTGGGCGGCCGCAACGCCGGCCGTCGGGGCCAATCGCAGGCACAGTCAGCTCGCGGCTCAAGCAGCTCGGGCCGGGCCTCATTCTGCCGATGCCGGGTGGGCCGCCGCCCAAGCGCAGGGCGCGGCCTGTGTCGATGATGGGGCCCGCGGGGGCGACAGGAGCGGGGACGGTGGCGGGGGCGGTGGCGCCTGTGAGGGCGGAGGCGGAGGCGGAGGCGACGGGCAGTCGGAAGACGCTCGACGTGTCGTCGCACAAGGCCAGGGCGAAGGCGTCGGCGCGGGCAAGCGGGCGGCGGCGGCCGCCGAGTCGGAAGCGGGTGGCGCGCAACAATACCAAGCGGCTGGGGAGCTCTGCAGGAACGGGCGTGGATGCAGGAGGCGAGGGGAGCAGGAGGCCAAGGTGCAGGAAGCGCACCAATGCTGGACCTCTCGGCGGCGCGGTCGCGGGCAGCGCTCGGCGCGCCGTCACGCGAGCGCAGGCCATCGACGCGGATGGAGCGGCCGCCGGCGTCGCTCCTGGTGGCTGGCGTGCTCGGTGAGTCGGGCCCGCGAGCAAGGCCGCGCGCAAGACCGTCGCCGGCCAAGCCGTCGTACACAAAGCCGCCGCGCGGAGCGGCGGTGCCCGGCAAGCCGCCGCGCGCAAAGCCGCCGCGCGGAGCGGCGGTGCCCGGCAAGCCGCCGCGCGCAAAGCCGCCGCGTGAAGCGGTGGTGCCGGGCAAGCCGCGGCGAGCAAAGCCGCCGCGGGCCAAGCCGCCACGCACAAAGCCGGGCAAGCCGCCGCGGGGGGCCACCATTGCAGGCGCAGATGGAAAAGTGGTGGCAACGGCAGCAGCGATGGCAGCAACGGCAGCTGGCGACAGCCAGCGGGGACGCGCGCAGTCGGAGAGCGCGGCAGTGTGGACCGACGAAAGCCCGCCGGCGACGCCGACAACGCCGAGCACACCGAGTGCGAACGGCGGGCTGTTGGGGCTCCCGGGCTCGCGCGAGAACGTCGAGCTCGCGCCGCCGGAGACCGGGCCAATCCTGCTCTCGGTCGGATGGAACAACGCGCGCAAGATGATGCGGTTCGCCAAAGAGTCGTACGTGGGCGAGATGATTGCGGCGATTTGCGAGAAGTTCTCGCTCTCGTTTGCCGATCCGTACATGGTGCAGGTCCAGGGCGGGCCGCTGATGTACCCCGACAAGTATGTGTGCGAGTATGGGCTCGCCAACCTGGGGCGGATCGAGGTGGTGGAGGGCGACTATCCGGTGGACGGGTTTGGGCGCGAATCGCCCGAGCCCGGGCTCGGGCTAGACGCGTCTGCCGAGCGGCTGCGCAAGGTCTCGATGACGTCGCTGGTCTCGGAAGAGTCAGAAGAGTCTGCAGCGGTGGAGGAGACAGCAGACGTGTTCCTCTCGGTCGAGCACGAGTCTGTGCGCAAGCTGCTGCGGTTCGCGCGGAGAGCAAGCGTGGCAAGCGCAGTGGCTGCAGCCGCCGCCAAGTTTGGCGTCGACGCATGCCACTACGGATTTTCCGGTGAACGCATCGGACCGCTCGACCTGGACAAGACGCTCGGAGACTATAACCTTCAGATGCGCGATTTAGTGTTCCTCCAGGAGGGCGCGCAGCTCGCCAAGACCGGGCTGGACATCCCGGAAGTCGACGGGCGAGAGATCATGCTCGCGTTCAGGTACAACATGCAGGAGAAAGTGCTGATGGTGAAGGAGCAGCTCGAGGTGCGGCACGCGGTTGTCCTCGCGTCGCGGAAGTTCTTCATCAACAAGCCGCAGCTGTACGCGCTGAGCCACGCCGGGCACGGAGTGCTCGAGCCGCACGCGCAGATTGCGTCGTTTTGCTTTGGCATGCGCGAGGTGCTCAACCTTGAGCTCGCAGTCCGAGCCTGCGAGGGCGCGGCGCCGTCGTCAGCGTCCGAGGGCCTGGGCCCGGCGTGCGGGCGCAAGTCGTTTACCGAGGACGGGCGGGACGTCGAGGGCGACGTCGTGCTCTCGGTCTCGAACCAGCAGGCCTCGGTCTTCAAGATTATGAAGTTTGCCAAGGCGTGCCTGGTGGGAGAAGCGGCGCAGGTCGCGGCGCGGCGGCTGTTCCTCGAGCCTCAGGGCGCGTACCTCTACTCGCACAAGCACGGGCGGCTGGAGGCGTCGCTCCCGCTGGCGACGTACATGTTTTCGGACCGCGAGGAGGTGCTGCTGCGGCTCGGCGCAGACTCGGGTACGAGCAGCGTGTCGGGCGCGGTGGGCAAGGCGGCGATGACGTCGTCGGCGGGCGCGGCGTCGAAGCGGGCGTCGGTGCTGCAGGACGTGCTCGCTGGCGCGGCGGTTGTGGTGGTGGTCATGCACGAGCCGACGTCGCGGATCAAAATGGTCAAGGCCGAGCCAGGGCAGACGGTGGGCGAGCTGGTGGAGATGCTCGGCAAGAAGTTCATGCTCGACGACGTGTGGCGGTACTCGCTGACCTCGCCGCGGATGGGGGTGGTGTCGGACAGCTCGGCGCTTGTCGGCTCGCTCGGGCTCGGCATGCAGGAGGAGCTGAGCTTGGTCATCAATCCAGGCGCGGTCAAGCCGGCAGAGGCCAAGCGCGAGGAGCGCGAGCTCGAGCCGGTGGTCGGGTCGTTCTTCGGCGAGCCGTCGCCGCTCCTCGGTGGGCGCGGGCGGGTGAGCCTCGGGTCGAGCTCGGACGACGACGAGGGCGGGATGGAGTACCTCCGGCCAACGGCCGGCGGCGAGCTCGACGCCGCAGTGGCGTCGTCGCTCTCGCCGGCTGTCTTGTCGTCGTTTGCGCGCGAGGCCGGCGGCGGGTGCGAGTCGTACTTTGAGTCGGGCTTTCCGGACGCGGACGGCGTCGCGGCCGAACGGGACAACGGCAGCAACGGCGGCGACGGCGGCAACGCGGCTCCCTCTGAGGCCGGCGAGACCGTGGCCGGCACGCCGGTGGAGCTCTTTGCCGAGGCTGCCGAGCGGGCACTGACGATGGCGCAGAGCGTGGAGGCCGAGGACGAGGACGCCAACGCCGCGTTTGTGGCCGACTTTCTGCTCATGTTCCGGTCGTTCATCGAGCCGATCGAGCTCCTCCAGTTCATCATGTGGGAGATGGTGCCCGGAAGTATTCCGCGGAGCGAGCTCCTGGTGCGGGTCGACCCAGACCGCGGGGTCTTCAACCGTGCAGGCGCGCTCGTGCTTCTGCAGGAGTGGCTCTCGACGCACTTTGAGGACTTTACAAGCGACCCGCTGCTGCGGATGAGTATTATCCAGTTTGCGCACACCTTTCTCGAGGGCGCAGAGCGCGACTGCCTGCTCGCGCTCGTCCACTGCGGGGGCGAGGAGCAGCAGGCGCCGCTGCCGAGCTACGAGGCCGAGGTGGCAGGCAAGTCGATCAAGTGGCACAGCGTGTGGATGCAGACCGAGGTCTCGGTCTTTGCGCAGCAGATGACGCTGCTGGAGCTCTCGCTGTACCAGCGGATCCTCCCGCGCGAGCTGCTCGACCAGGCGTGGACCAAGGATGAGCTCAAGAACACCCGGGCGCCCAACGTGACCGCCGTCATCTCGCATTTTAACAGGTTCTCGCGGTGGGTGGTGACGGAAATCCTCATGGCGCGGCGGCCGCAGAAGCGGGCAGCCATCATGGCCCGGTTCGCCGAGCTCGCGGTCCAGCTCATGATCCTCAAAAACTACTCGGGCGTCATGGAAATCCTCTCCGCGCTCAACTCCTCCGCAGTCATGCGGCTGAGAAAGACCTGGGCCAAACTCCCGCCCGAGGCGCTGACATCCATCAACAACCTGCAGGTCCTCGTCTCGCACGAGAAAAACTACAAGTTCCTCCGCGACCAGCTCGCGTCCGCCAAGCCGCCGTCTGTCCCCTACCTTGGCCTCTTCCTCTCAGACCTCGTCTTTACCGCAGACGGTAACCCCAACTCGACCGAGGACGGCCTGGTCAACTGGATCAAGTGGAAGCAGTACGCCCGCATCGTCCGCGCCCTCCGCAAGCCCGCCCGCGGCGCACTCGCCATCACCCCGCTCCCGGTCGTCCAGCACTTTCTCACCCACCATCTCTCATACATCGACGAGTCGGACGCGTACGATCTCTCGCTCGAGCTGGAGCCGCGGAAGAAGAAGAAGTAGTACACTAGTCCACGTCGTCCATGGTTCATCGTTCGAAGGCGAGTCCATTAATATCAGGAGCTAGCCCTAGCCCTAGCCCTAGCCTTAGCCCGAAACCCCAACCCCGCCTCCCACAACCCCCACCCGCCACCCACAACCATACACACACCCACAACCTTACACACATACACATACACATACACATACACACATACACACATACACACACCAACCGCCATCGCGCGCAGCAACAGATTGCCTTGTGCGTGTCTCTGTGTCTGTGAGTTTCGCTGGGCCGTCGCCGCAAAAACGAACCAAAAAATCGATTCGGATCAAGATCGCCCGCTGTACACGGACACCGCGGCATGGCCAACCACCCCTACCAAGCAAAAAGGGTAAGACAAAAACCGCTTTAAAGCTTTGTTGTACGCTTAGAAGCACTTGCGGTGCACGATGCTCGGGCCAGACTCGTCGTACTCCTGCTTGGAGATCCACATCTGCTGGAAGGTGGAGAGCGAGGCGAGGATGGAGCCGCCAATCCAGACCGAGTACTTGCGCTCGGGCGGGGCGATGATCTTGATCTTGACGGTCGACGGGGCGAGGGCGGTGAGCTCCTTCTGCATGCGGTCGGCGATACCCGGGAACATGGTGGTGCCGCCGGAGAGGACGCAGTTGCCGTAGAGGTCCTTACGGATGTCGACGTCGCACTTCATGATCGAGTTGTAGGTGGTCTCGTGGATGCCGGCGGCCTCCATGCCGAGGAACGACGGCTGGAAGAGGGCCTCCGGGCAGCGGAAGCGCTCGTTGCCGACGGTGATGACCTGCCCATCGGGCAGCTCGTACGACTTCTCGAGCGACGACGACGAGGCAGCGGTCTGCATCTCCTGGTCAAAGTCGAGGGCGACGTAGGAGAGCTTCTCCTTGATGTCACGGACGATCTCGCGCTCGGCGGTGGTGGTGAACGAGTAGCCACGCTCGGTGAGGATCTTCATCATGTAGTCGGTGAGATCGCGGCCGGCGAGGTCGAGGCGGAGGATGGCGTGCGGGAGCGCGTAACCCTCGTAGATCGGGACCGTGTGCGAGACACCGTCACCCGAGTCGAGGACGATACCGGTGGTACGGCCGGAGGCGTACAGCGAGAGCACGGCCTGGATGGCGACGTACATGGCCGGGGTGTTGAAGGTCTCGAACATGATCTGGGTCATCTTCTCGCGGTTGGCCTTCGGGTTGAGCGGGGCCTCGGTGAGGAGGACCGGGTGCTCCTCGGGCGCGACGCGGAGCTCGTTGTA